GAGAGAGAGAGAGAGAGAGAGAGAGAAGGGTACCAAACGAGCATTCCACCGTTTGAAATAACTGGAGAAATTACGGTTTTCAACAAACTTCTGGCATTGAGAGATTTTTTACAGCGATTTTTAACTGCTCCGTAGTTTTCATCAACGAAAGCTGTAGAAACCTTTGTTACCTAATCAGTTAAGTCATTACCGCGAACGAAATCGGCTGAATTTGCATGGCAGAGAAAGGCAAACCTGTAACTATTGCGCTGTTACATTTGCACATCGATTTAAAAATTTGATACGTAACGCGACAACAGTGACACTGTACAGGTTGCGGAAAGCTGTCGCCTGGTTGCGCACACTGGTGGTTGGCGTTTGCACTTTTGCAGTTTATCTGTAGACACATAAAGATGTTCATTTGAACTTGCTGTCATCGTTATTACTGGATAGGCGTAAAGGTCTCATCCAGCTGCTGAGTGGAAAGTAGTTATTGTGCTGCTGATGAACTATTTTTTTTGCTGCTGCCTCGTTCTATGGTTCTAAGCAGCGGTATGGGAGGAAAGTCTGAGGACGGTGAAAATTGGATGGCTGATCGGATTCGTAAGCGCAGGGGTGTGCTTGATGGAGATGGTGCTGGCAACAACTTTGATGAAGCGCAGACTGTTGAGGATTTAATGGCCTCAGAAACAGATTTTGATGACCCTGTTTCTGGGCCACATTTCCCTAACTATCGCTTATCCAAACGTACCATAAGCGGAGCTAGTTACAGAACTGATGAAGACACTGATTACAGTGAATACGAGGCGTTAATAAAATCAAAGGTTTCAAATTTTAAACACAATAAACTTTAAAGGAAATTAAAAGAAACAAATCTGGTGCCCTGACACTTTATGACGTCCACTGTGCTAAGTAATCAGTATATGCTTTTTTTTCACTTCGTCATACGAAAACTTTTTTACTGTCACCGTTTTCGTATTTTTTTTTTTCTCAGGAACATTTTATTTTAATTTCTACTTCTTTCTTGTTCTCTTTTTTGTTCTTTCTTAGCTTGTCTTACATTTCTTTTACATACTGGGAATTTCCGTCATATTCACTGAAGCCTAATTAGCTGTATTAATATCTAGTCTCTAGTACGGTTATTTTCTTTTTTTTTTCTCGTTTCTTTTTGAAAGAAGGACTTTGATTTTTAATCAGCCTTCTTGGTATTAGAACCACATTAGTTGCGAAGGGATTGTTCAGGATAGAGGAGTGTATTTTAGCAGACACAGCATAGGACGTTCTTAAGTTCAAAAAACAGTTGATTTACTCGATTGCTTCCATTTTGAGTGTATAAGAAAAGGAAAATTTGTCACAGAATAATATTTAGTTTTACTGATAGCTAACTGTTCCGTTAGGAAATGAAGTAAGAGAATGTTCGACGAAATTAAGTTTTTATTTTTTGAGTGCGTTACACGGTTTTGAGACGATTCTGGTGTAGAAATTGTTTGTAAAAGCAAGGTTTTTTTCTGGAAACTGCAAATATAAGCTGTGTGAAATGTGAAGGATGGCTTTATTTGAACAGTGCAATATCATCAAGAAAATCTGGACACAAAAAACTTATTAGGTTGGAAGCGGTCTGGTAATTAACACATTTCCGGGCTGGTCTTGCTGGTCATCATTATGTACAAGGGCACAACAGATTTGTTGGGAATCTCTGCTGAATACTATGTGAAAGGGTTTTGAGCAGAATTTTTTCAATATTATACGCGGAACATAAAGCGTGTGACTATTTGAATACTTATTAGGTTTATTTTTTCTAATATATTTCTTTTTCACCTTATTTTAGGAAATACTTTACTTTGTAGGTTCTCTTTTTTTTTTTTCTATTTTTAGATAATTTTTTACCTAATTTTGTTATCCATTTTTTTTCAGTCGCCGGTTGACTCTTCGTTAAACTGGTTTCAACGGACGCGGCAGGCATTACATGGCGACTTCTCTTCAATATGTTTGCTTTTGTTCCTCTACCTGCTACAGGGTGTACCTCTAGGTCTTATTGCAGCTATACCATTGGTGTTATCAAGTAGGAATGCTTCATATGGCCAGCAAGCAGTATTTTCTTTTGCCTACTGGCCTTTTAGGTAATATTTTTGATTATATAGCTTCTTTATTCTCCTCCTTTTTTTTCTATCACTTTTCGACATTCTTAAACATTTTGGATTTGCCACTTTTCCTGATATCCTACCTTCTTGTGCATTTTTTCGTAACTCATTTTTGCATCAGCATGTTTTGCTTGTTCAGTCTTAAATTGTTATGGGCTCCTATTGTCGATTCTGTGTACTGGAAACGTATGGGAAGAAGGAAGTCTTGGATGGTACCTTGTCAATATTTAATTGGTATTTTCATGTTAATATTGTCATATAAAGTTGCGGATATAATGGGTGATGAAAGTGAAGGTTTGTACACTTTTATTTTACTATCCTTCAAGAAGTTAGAAATTAACTGTATAACAGCGCTTATTCATCACTTTTTTCCAGACTCAAAAGCTCCAAACGTGTTGTTCTTGATGTTGATATTTCTGCCTCTGAATTTCCTGGCAGCCACTCAAGATATTGCTGTAGACGGATGGGCTCTTACAATTTTGTCTAGGTTATTTCTGATTGATTATTTTTGCTGTTACTTTTTTTTGGAAATAAGGTTATTTTTTTTTACGCTTTTGAGAAGTGATGCATTTTGGAATTTGAAATTTTACCACTAAAGGGAAATTTTAAGTGAACACTTTTATTAAGTCTGTTTTTAGAAATTTACTTTTTTTTCTATAAAGTTTTTCTTCCAGGAAGAATGTTGGCTATGCTTCAACCTGCAATGCCGTTGGCCAAACTGCAGGCTATTTTTTAGGTAATGTTGTATATTTAACCTTGGATTCTGCTGATTTTGCAAATCGTTTTTTCCGAACGGAACCAAAACCGTATGGGTTGGTGTCATTATCTGGTAGGTGCTTATGGTTAAATATTTTAGTTGGTTCTTGGAGGTGTTTCATTACTGATTCCTTTTGAATAAGTCACAATTTTTTTCTGCAGTTTTTTTTTTCTGTAAATGCGTAATTGGTCATTCGTAATAAAGGTCGGTTGTTCAAGATTTTGTAGTTTTTATTTTGTAAAAGTAATACTTATCGTTATTTCTTGTAAGTTATGTCTTCTCTCTTTTGTATCATTCTTTTATAAGTTTCTAACAGACCATCGACCTCTCCTTTCTGTTACTGACGCCAGCTTCGTATTTCTTCTTTTATACTGTTGTAAATTAAATGGGGATTTGAATTTTCTTGAATTAAATTTTTTTAAATTCAATCACTGTTTATATTCACCGTACGTTTTTCAGTTGCTTTCTTGATTTAAGCAACCGAAAGATTTCTTATGTCTTTCATTTTACAAGAACCGTTGTTTAGATTTTATTTTTAATATTTAATGCATAGAAACTTTTCGAGAATGGATCGTCTATAAAGCTCTAATTGTATCTCTTAAGTAGTGTAAAAATGCATATTACATATAGATAGAGCGGGACTTTTAACTTACGTTAGATTATTGATAATAACAATATATTTCAGCAAAAATAGCAAGTATTTTTAATGCAAAGCGTTTAAAGTCAAATCCTTCTTTGAGAGGTACTGGAAAAGCATCTGATTGCGACTGGTACTTAGGATAACTGCGCAAAAACAAAAAAAGAAAAAAGTGAGTTGAGCAGTTTTAGTACAGTTTTAAGGGCGTTAATTGCCTCATCTATCAATGTTCTGGAATCTCAGGCCCAGTTGGGTTTGTTTGGTAAGGGTCGGCTATGGCGTATCAACTTGTATCATTATCATCATCAAGGCTAGTTCTTCCCAACCAATAGGTAATTCCTGCGAGTTGGATTTCGCAACTGAAACACTGCGTCCTTACTACTTTATTGCTTTATTGAGAAAAATAGGTTTTGTTGCATATTAAAATAATATTTTTTGTCTACCTTGTATTTTTCGTTTCTCCTTCAATCAAACTCATGGCAAATCCTCCTTCACTTGTCACTATAACAGCAGACCAGTAATCCCCATATCTCTCTCTAGACTGTTCTATTAAGTATGTGGCTTGCGTACGAGGTTGGTGCGGATACATTCCGATTGATTCCATTAATAATTCTTTGAGTTTTGAGGATCTACATTTTTCATCTAAAAAATTTCAGTTTTATTTATTTATTTATTTTTTTCTTTTTTTTGTCTTTTTATCTTAATTGTTCCCTCAGTTGGCTGCATTTATTGATCTTTTTGCAGTTAAATTTTTTCTGGAAATATTTGGCGTTTTGGAAATTCTACTTTTGCGAGATATTTTTCCTTCTACGTCTTTAGCACTAATTTTTTGGATTGTCGACTTTTGCTTATACAGTTTCAAATAACGCTTACTAAAACATTTTGAGTAGTTCAGTTTTTCTAAATTTTTGTGTGAAGTGCATTAAACTTGCTCACCGTTTTTTATAAGCTCATTAGGATCAATTTAAAAAGGGGTCGTTTTTCTTTTTTATTACAGGACATGAAACTTTATCTCTGTCTATAATTAATATTTCGCTTCATTTTACTGGCAAATTAAATGACTATTTTAAATAACTCAATTTTTTTTTTTTTTTTTTTTTTTTTTTTTTTTT